CTACGTATTCTATATATTATCTGAGTACGAGACAACTCAACTGGGCTCTACATGAAAGAGACGTGTTTCTTACCTCAAATTACTTTCATTCAAGAGTCTTGATCTCATGTGTGTTTTCTGGGGTGGGAAGCAAAGCAGATTGCTACGAACCTTGACAGTACAAGTTATGTTTGTAGAAGTGGATGACAGAGAAATAGGCTGTCATACCTACCAAAACAGTCTCCAACATATGATATCCATGTCCTGTAGCCCTTCCTAGGATAGGTCTTGCGCTCTTCACGCATGGGCAACACATGTATCGTGAACCCTTGAACTGCTTGGGGCTCCCACCCTGTCCAGGTCACGATCGATTCATTCGCACAGAAGAAAAAACGAGTCATGAGGTTCATGTTGTTACTTCGCTCCTAGTAACTTCTTGTTCCTAGTAGTAAGGTCAGGAGCTACCAGTTCCTTGCTCCTGCTAGCGATGACCTTTGCTATTAAAAGCGGCCTCTTGTTCCTAGTAGTGATGCTTCTGTTTTGGATTGTCTTGGCATTTCCATTTCTTCGGAGTTGTGGTGTCACAAGTTCTTTGTCCGAACGGCAGACTTAGACCGCTTAGACCCCACCGGCGAGTTGGTGAGGAGTATGATGCACACCAGAGCAACCTGACACCTGGTGGTTTGATCGTTTGACACAACTGTTGGGCCTCAATCTGTGACATTGGGCGTTCAATTTGGGGCAAGCGACCGATTGACCCACAAGACTAGCATTGATGTCGAGATATGTTGAGTGTTTTCAGTACGTTGGAGGTGAATACCGCAGCTCCCTGTCAGCAGACCTACTGCGCTAGCCTACTGTAAAACTAAGATTTTTTTAGTGGGTTGAGAATAAATGACACAGTCCCCCCAAAGGTGGTTTATATCGACCCTCATCTAAAAGACATCTTGGGGGTCGTGCTGTCTACTCTGAAACCACTGCACCTGTTTACTGTGTTTACTGTTTGTATTTGTTCATTGGCTTTGGCTTTGATTTGGTGATTTGGAAAGTCGACTTAGGCTAGAGTCTCTGCTAAAACAGAGGTCCCGGCATCCACTCACAGACAAGGAGCTGTTTTACGTAGCACTCTTTCCGACACCTTCTCCTTCACCCACCTCATGGTGGGCTCAGCAGGGGAGATGACTATTGCAACAGGGTGTGAAAGTTTGCTGGAATGTTCAGAACCAGACAATTGATGGTATATATAATTGCAGACTCTCATAGTTAAACCTGACGAGCCCTGCAGTTCACAACCAGACTGTCAGACTTGCCGAATGTTTGTTTCTGGTGACGCAATATGTTATGATGCGTGGCACGGCATGGCACTGTGCAGTGTGACAACGTTGATCGCCCTCACCAGGGGTACCTTTTGATGCAAAGGACCACATGTACAGAAATAGGCAGTGGGTCAGTGCATCGGGTTTGGAATAGTATATTTGTTTAAACAATAAAGACATACTAGTACAGACAATTGAAAGACAGCGTACAGTAACAATTGAGTAGGTACAGAATCCCAACTACCATGGTGCTTGCGGGGGTATTCATGGACTCACGGATGGAAGACCGACTTGAGTGATACTTGGGGGACCACAATTTCAATTGCTTCGGATTAGGAAAAAAAACAGAAAGTACAAAGAAGAGTATGGGAAAGGTGCAGAAAGTAGCGAAGAAAAATACGACATACCAATAAACAAGTTAGATCGTATACGGTTTCTCAGCTCTGGATGCGACTCAACAAGTGTCGTTGCCGACGGCTCTAGAGGTTCATACGTCCGACATTGGCTCATGCCCCCCTACCTAGAAGCGATGGCCTCCAACCCGTGGCCTCCACCCTAGCAATTAGCAATGGCTTCCACCCTAGTAGCAATTGCCTCCAACCTACTAGCAATGGCCTAGCAATGGCCTCCAACCTAGTAGCAATGGCCTCCAAACCAGTAGTGATGGCCTCCTCTAGAGGACCATGCCATGTCACCTGACACCGCGCGCTGAGAACTGCGCTGGTTCGCGGTGATTTCATGCGCACGCCGACGCACTCCACCGCTCAGAGCGGGGCGTTCGGCAAGGGCCTGGGACTGATTGGCGGTTTTGGGGTCTTACTATCTTACTACTAGTAGCAAATAGCTAGTAGTTAGTAGCTTCTGGTCACTAGTAGTAGTGCCAGGAGCTACGTTCGTAGCTTCTTGCTCCGTTCGTAGCCATGCCCTTTGTTCCTAATAGCTTCTTTGTTTTTAGTAGTGTTTGTTGGGGATTGCTCAGTTGTGGCACACCTTTCTCTACTAAGGGCCTACAGGGTCAGCCAAGCTCGTTTCACAAGTGTCTTTATTCTAGACTTGAGAGTTGATCATCCCGGACCTCTATCGCACTTTAGGCTTAGTCACAGGGGGCGCATGCATGCTGGCTACCTGTGGGGAGAAGGTCGAGACAAACTGCAAAAAAGGATCTGCAGCTAGTTCCAATGTGAGGAGGTTTGAGAACTTCATGTTGTCGGTCATTATAATTATTCACGAAAGGTAGCTTGAGCTACCTGAGTTCTCCTTGCTTTAGCAAAAATGTATTACAATCAGGAGTTGGGATTGTGCATTGAATTTGGTCCTGTAAGAGTTGATTCTGTTCGTCGGGGGGGGGGGGGCCCCCCCCCCCCCTGGATCAAATCCCCCCTTGCGCCGGTTCACGCCGTCGTGGACTTCTACCAGGGTTACTTGTGATTGCCTGCTACCTTTCGTTCACCCCCTCCTCTCTCAAGTCCACTCACATGCCTTAGAGAAGCATCCAATATGTCTACAGTTTTTGTACGTGAAGGATTTTTGTCCATGAACCGGAGACACGAATTTGCAGGACAGCCAGAGCGCAATTGCTACTGTGCCAGGATGGCAACTAAGGTCCTTCAAAAAGAAGGCGTAAATGTCCTTCGCAGGGGAAAGGGAAAATCCCCTTGCGTGAAGCCGCAGTAGTTCATGAGATAGCTTTTGATGGCAGTTTGAACGATGCACAGGCTCCAGGGTGGGGTGTTCCTGAGTTCGTAAGCCATTTTGCTGAGACATTGGCATGTTGCTTCTTTGAAATAGATCTAACTGCATCCCTTCCTTAGGTCCTGTATCCCTTGACACTTGCCAACAAAAACACTGCAGGAATGGCGAAGAGGACAGCTCCAATCCTTGGAAGATCTTGGCCTCCTTCGGCTTTTCAAGCGGGGGATGTGTTGGTCAGCGGCGACAGGGAGCTCATAATCGCAGCTTCCGCGCTGACCCCCAAAAGGTCAGGACCCGTGAGGTCTTCGCGGCTTCCCTCCGGTCCACCGGGGTGCGTCAACAGAAGCACCGGGGTGCGTCAACAGGTTGGAACGCGGCAGGGCTGTTGGCTGCTGGCCTGAAATGTTCCCCAAGCAGGGTTGCCACACCAGGGTAGTTGTTCAGGCCGGGTTTTTGATCGGAGGGTCTCATCGGCCTGTCCGGCTAATTCCCTACTATTCACAATATCGAAACATTCATTCACCTCGAGATCTTCGAAGGTGCTCCTCTGGACTGCGCTCTCGTAGTGGTGCCGTGCACATTTTTCGGACTTGGTGGTCACTGTTCGTGGCAGGCGCAAGGGAAAGCTAGTGTTTTGGTGGTCCAAAGATGGTTTTTTCGTGGCAGGTGCAGGTGGCCTCTACATTCTAGATCGATAGAACTCTGTATCTCAAGACATCTAGACCTTTGCACTGCTAGACCTCGAACGACCTCTCACACTCTAGACCTCTACACCGGACCGGGCATGGAAACTCTCAGGGCTTTCTTTCTTACAGGCTGTTTCCAAATTCTCAGAATGTGTCCAGTTCTGCTTCATGTTTTCTCTATCGGATCCGGGGAAGCCGTGGATCGCCCTAGCCATAAAATCGCTGGGACGGGCACCCTTTTTCATGGGGACGATGAGTGACGTCCCTTTCTTCGGGATTCAAAAAGGACCGCGGAACGTTGGCGGTTGCTGATTGCTGAGGATGTAAGCCTGGTGCGGAACCCGCAACTGTTGGTTCATGAGTTGGTCCGAAGTGAGTGGGAAACACACCGGAAAGTGAATGGCTACAGCAAATTCATGCACTGACAACGCCGCTGCAAAAGCAATGAGGTTGGTTTCAAGCAGAACCCCCTTTGGAACCTATACTTTCAAGCGGCAGTTTCCTCAACCCAATGCCAAAACCATTGATCTGGATGGTTTACAGGGCCTTTCACTAAGTAGGCGTCCTTTTGTTCACTCTGTATCCCGGGGATGCTTCAAACCAGCCAGCATAATGGATTATTGTCAACCATGAATGTTCTATGAGTCTATGATGTTCTATGACGTTTGTGACCTTGTTGGTTGAGAGTCCACACTTTTTCTGATATGGTTTGTGCACAAGGTTCGTTGTCATGAGACCACGCCAAAACTGACACCTATTGTCGTTTCTGCCTTACATGTTGTCTCGGTTGCTGGACTTGCGCACGCCCTTAGAGAGAATTTGCCTTGGTGCAACATGTTTGCTATGTTTTTTGGGCTGAATCCGCAGCATGTGCGCAGTGAATCTGATATTGTGCATGGTTTTGTTGCAACACGTAAAAACTTATTTCCCAACTACCCAGCACCGAGACCTTCAACATGCAGTCTCCGAACCTCCAAAGAGCTCTTGCAATCTGTCAAACCGTTCCGCCACTCGAAGCAGAAGTCCATTCGATAATACTTCTTGTCGCTCATTTAAAACCATTGAGATGATTAGCTCTTGTGTTGAGTGGCATTCACTTTGAAAGACTCAGCTCCGCGTTTTCCATGGTCTGTTGTCAATGCCACGCGCATGTTTGTGGGTCATTGAGAGGCAGGTTTTGCATGTCCATGTTACTTCCAGAGAAGTGTGCGAGTTCTTGTCCTGGTCCTGAACTTTCTCATGTCTCATTTCGTTCAGGCTTACACCATGATAAACACCCAAGAGATCAGTAACCTTGAGACCCTCACGACACCAAAAACGGATGCCTACGACATCGACTTTCCTACAACACCTGCGCCCATGGCTTGCAGCTCCCACAGCGATGGCGTGCACGTTTGGGACTTGGATTTGCAGCTCGAGGGCGACTACAGGCGCAGAATTCGAGACCCTCAGTGAGAGACTCACGGCTTTCGCAAGGAGAAGACGAAGCCTTTTGAGTTTCTTTGGTCGAGTCCCTTGGGGTTGGGGTTTGCAAGAGTTGTTTTTGCTTCCTCTGCAGTCTCCCTTCGGTCTCCCTTCGCGTTCCCGTCCGATTCCCTCGGGCTCCCACCGCCATGGATTCAACTGCCTTTATTGATCAAGAACCGTTATTGTTTTACTAAAGCATGTTTACAGCACACGAAACAGCTCCACATAGCGTCAAGCATGTAACCTCAGGGTCACAGCAGAGGCGCTCTTGGTTTCGCAGAGGCGCTTCCGGCCACAGCCCCGGGCCTGTTTGCCCAAGCCCTTCTTCCGGGCCAAGAAGCGCAAACACCACGAGGCGCTCACACCACGGGGGCGGATGACGAGACCAGGAGACAGCACGCTTCGAGTTCACGGGGATCCAAGGAAATCCATCGGGATCCGGTATCTCTTCATCTAAGATGTGGTTATGAGTCAAACAATTCAAACACCTGTCATGTCCCACCAAAGCAAGGTAATTAGGTTGAGATCCCCTTTATTGAGGTATTTGTTCATGTTCAAGTTGTTATTAGTGTCACCCAGTGCCTTTGTCCTCCTACGAGGCGAAGGGCATATATAATGAGGGTTAAGCTTTCCCCGATGAAGTTCGGAATCCGGGCGAGACCTGACCACATGTCGCCCTCACAGGAACGCCCTGTGGATGTGCCATGAGGTCTCTGTGGATGTGTCATGGGAGCCGCTGATTGACAGCAGCAAACCAGTGAGTTGGGGTTTGGGGTTGACCAGTTGACCATCACATGGAGAGGTCAACCAATTGAAGTGAAAAATTTGAACATTCGACCCACCCCCAGCAACAGTCGAACACCTTCTGATCGGGTGTTGGCATCAATTCCAGGACATCCTCAGCAATTGGGACGCACAGACGAGCGCTCTGTCGCCTGAGCAAGAGAGGCTTCTGCTTCGGTGCCAAGAGATGCCAAAGATGTTCCTCGTTGGTAAATCCTTGGTGTCCCAACTCCAGTGGTCAATCTCTTGGAATTGGATCAGGTGGTTAAACCACCTCAATGGTCCCAATTCCTCTTCTTTTTTCCTGTAACACTGTAAGGAATGGAATGGACTCATTGATGTATCCGCAGGGAATGGGCCGCCTGTGTCACAACAAAGTAGGAGTTTGGAAGTTAATTGCAAAGCATCTACAGAGGCACGCTGTGCCCAAAGTATATGGTTATGAGTCATAAGTGTAAGTTTAATGCGGTTCAATGCATCATTTTCTGCAAGCCTTTTGGAGTTTTTGCACACCGTGCCTAAAATAGATGTATATTATACGTGTGATTTGGGTGCCACCCAAAAGGACAAGAGACAGAGCTTTTGGCATGAGCGGTTTCCAACCTTGCCGCCCGCCGCTCTCACGGTTCAACTTGGCCCATGAGGGGCCCCTTGAGCATTCACGCTTGCTACGCAAAAGAGTCGCATGCAGCTTTCACGTTCCACGTTGACACTTCGAGCGGTCACACGTGATAGGTATTCACTCCATACCTTTACATTGGTAGCGGAGCCGTCCAAAGTGACGGCTCCCGCGCGCTGATGGCCGGACGCTCTCCCTCGCGAAGGGAAAACCCATCCTTCGCGGCAGCAGCTGGACAAGCCAATGGCGCTGGCGGAAGCCGAGACCTGAAGGACAACTTCGTGCCGCGCTTCGAGAACACCACGACCTCCTACAAGGAGTGGCGGCGCCGGGTCCTTCTCTACGCCCGGAAGTTGGAAATCCAAGGTCGAAAGACCGAAGTGGCACTGAACGTGCTGTCGACCTTGGAAGGCTCCAGCTGGACTCAATGTGAAGACCTGGATTTGAAGGAGCTGGAGTCCGATGAAGGCCTCAACATTTTGTTGAAGCGCCTGGATCGCCAATGGTCCTACGACGACAAGGTCGAGATGCCGAACAACTTCGAGGCATTCTTCTTCAAGCTCAAGCGCCGACAGCACCAGACCCTCCTCGAGTACACCACCGAGTTCCACCAGGTGCTGCGCCAGGTGACCAAGCACAAAGTCGACCTCCCCGAAGAGGTTACAGGATGGATGCTGCTCAAACGAGCAGGTCTGACACGTGAACAAGAGCAAATGGTGCAGACCCAGATCGGGTCGGTCCTGACCTTGGGCGCAGTTGAGCAGTCCCTCTTCCTGTTGTTCGGACAGGATTACCAACAGGTTCATGTTCCTCATCACCTCCGCCGACAGCAGCAGCAACTTCGATGGAAGAAACCCCAAGGCATCCACATGGCCTGGGATGATGAAGCTGAAGAGTTCTTCGAGGCTGAGGAGTCCTACTACATGGACGCTGATTCGGAAGGCGACCTCCAGGAACCTGATGAATGGTTTGAGCCCGAACTCCCTGATGGTACATTCTATGAGGAGACCATCGACGACACCGAGAACATCTATGACACAGAGGAGTTTGATGAGGTCTACTCCACCTACATTGATGCCAAACAAAGGCTCAACCAACTTCGCCAAAGCCGAGGATTCTACCCAGTGGTGGCAGTTGTTGATGGAAAAGGTCAAGCCCCACTAGTCGCGCAAAACCCAAAGGGCTCGGCAAAAGGTGGAAAGACCAAGAACAAGTCCAAGGGCAAGAACAGTGGCTCCAAAGGATCCTCAAAAGGTCCAACTGGCAAGAACCGAGCCAAGGCAGCTCTCACCTGCCTCCGATGTGGCAAAGCCGGACACTTTGCGGCCAACTGCCCATCCGTCCAGCAGACAGGCGGATCCTCTCCGAAGAGACGAGTGATCGACCTCGAAGACCCCATGATCAACATGGTCATGAACATCGAGTACAACTCCGACGACATGGATGAGGGCGAGGTCACTGCGGACGAAGACATCTTCTACGACGTCGAAGACGCCTACGTGGAAGGTGAAGTGTTGGTTCGAGCCGGAGGCTGGTTGACGAACGAGCCGGACACCTGCATTCAAGACCAAGGCGCAAGCTCATTCTTGATTGGCTCTGAGTACGCCTTGCGCTACATCAAGTGGCTTGAGATGATCGGCTATCCCATGGACGAGCTCACCTTCAAGAGATGCGACAAGTCCTTCAAGTTCGGAGGCGACGCCTCCGGCCACTCACAATGGATGGTGGAGCTCCCGGTCAAGATTTCTGGCCATCCTGGACGCATCCAAGCCTACATCATCTACGGGGCCACGCCCATGCTATTCGGCAGACCTCTGTTGGAAGCACTTCAGGCCGAGATCAACTTCGGCGAGTCCAAGATGAGACTACTTCATCAAGAATGGCAGGACATCCCTCGTGGCAGACAGGGCGCTATGCTTCTTCGCTTGGCAGCTGACGTCAAGCACCCCTGTGACTTCAAAGAGCCCGTCTTCGATTTCCGCTGTGAAGATGACCACGGCAGCGGAACCACCCTGCGCGAGTTTCTTGATGACCTCAACGCCCACGAGCGTTACTTCGAGATGACCACTGAGGTCAAAACCTACTTCTCGCTCCACGACCATGAAGAGACCTTCGCCATTGTTGAGGAAGATGATCAACAGCCTCTTCTACCCGGCGAAGCTTGCAAGACCATCGAGCAACTTCAGAAGACAATGTCTTGGATTGAAGCCCAACTCCAGGAGACAGAGAAGCACGTACAGCAGGAGATTCTCCACGCTCGTGACAGCGGACAACATCGCCGCCGCAAGCTGATCTGGGAAGTCTATGCCGGTGAAGGCAAGATCACGAGCCTCCTGCGATCTCATGGCGACGTTGATGTCATGAGGTTCGGTCTGGGAGATGGTTGGGACTTCAACAAAGCCTCACACAGAAAGCAGTTGCTTCGACTGGCCGACGACTTGGAGCCAGACGAGATCTTCATGTCTCCCAATGCCAAGTGCACCTTGTGGTCCAGGATGCAACAGATCAACGTCTCCAACGCTGAACAGGCTGCCGACTTGACTGAACGGCGCGAGATTGACGCCGAGACCCACCTCACCATGTGCAAGAAGCTCTACATGAAGCAAGTTCGACGAGGAGCCCACGCCCACATCGAGCACCCTCGCTTGAGCCTGGCCTGGGAGACCAAGCAGTTCAGGAACTTGCCTGGCCACAAGGCCATTTTCGACCAGTGCGCCTATGGAGCGACGATTCCTGATGACCACGGCATCGAACAGCCCATCTTGAAGACCGCCCGCATCAACACTACCAAATGGGCGATGTTCGAGATCATGTCCAAGAGATGCGATGGTTCACATCAACATCAACGACTTGAAGGTCGCAACAGGTGCCACCGAGCTGAAAACTATCAAGATGAGATGGCAGCCCACTTGGTCAGAGCCCTATTGTTGGATGAAGGCCTACATGAACAAGTATATGCAGTTTCTGAAGATGCCGCACCTCTCACAGGAGCACTTCGCAAGTTGGCCTCCAACCATGTGCATGAGGCAGCTCGGATCGCACAGCGACTTCATCGCAACCTTGGCCACCCACGGAAAGAAGTCTTGCTCCATGCCCTGAGGAGTCGGAACTGCAGCCCAAAAGTGCTGGCAGCTGTTCAGGATTTGGAATGTCCTTTCTGCGAGATCCACTCCGTGAAGAACGGCAACGCACCAGGACACCTTGATCGACCCACAGAGTTCAACAGCCAACTTCAAGCCGATGTCCTCTGGCTTGACCTGGACGAGGTTGGCATGGTGATCGAACCTGGTCGCAAGAAGAACAAAACCCGCAAGATCGCCATCCTGGTCATGGTTGATGTCGCCACCCGCTTTATGGCAGCTCGCACCGTCATGGACGAAAAGGGCCCATCACTACAGAAAGCTTTGGAAAGAGCCTGGATCCAACATCATGGACCTCCAAAGCAGCTTTATGTGGATGAAGGTACTGGTTGGGCTTCTGACTCTACAATGCAGTGGTGCGAGTCCAACGACATCGAGATCCGCATCTCACCTGGTCAAGCTCACACCAGAACATCCATAGTGGAACGACGACACCAGATTGTGCGCAAAGCAGTTTCAATCTTCATGATGGAGAACAACCTCACAGGTTTGGATGGCGTGCACAGCGCACTATCTTGGGTGGTTCCAGCTCTCAACAGCAACAGCTTTAAGTCAATGGCTTCACGCCCACTCAGCTCGCTCTCGGTCGAGAACCTGCTCTTCCCGGACTGTTGACTGATGAACGAACAGGTCCATTGCAGTTGCAACTCACCGAGCAGGAGAAATTGCATCGAAAGCTCAACCTCAAGTTCGCCACGCAGAGTGCTTGTGGCAAAGCTGAGATTGACGTGAAACTTCGCCGAGCTCTACTCCGACGCTTCACTGGCAAGGACGAGGAGCTTCTTCCAGGCGAACGATGCTACTACTGGCGTGATGCTCCCGACAAGAACCACATCATCCGCTGGAGAGGACCTGCGGTAGTGGTTGCTGTGGAACGCAACCCGGACTCAGGCACCGTCAGTGTCTACTGGCTCGCTCACGGCACTGTGTTCCTTCGTGCCGGAGTTCAACACGTTCGCAAGATGGTTAATGATGGCGGACAGATCGGAGCAGTGCAACGAGCTCAACAAGCCCTGGACGGCCTGAGACAAAGGAGATCCGTTCGCATCGTGGATTTGCGAAAGGCCAACAAGCGATCGATAGATGAGGTTGACCCTGAGGTCAGTGACTATGAGCCTTCGCTTCCAGATCCTCATCATCCCGCTCCGTTGACTATGTCCTCGCCTGCTCTACCTGACGGAGTTCAACAAGCCTTCGACCGTTCAATGCAGGAGGCAGTTCAGTCGAGAGCAGAGGCATTGCCAGCAGCAGAACCTCCAGAAGCAGAACCTCTGGATGCTCAGTCAGAGCCACCGCAGCTGGAACCTCAGTTGGAGGAACGTCAACCCCATGAGCGACATCCAGAACTTCCTGAACTGGATGACGATGACTTTGAGGAGCCTATGGGTGAACCTTCTCACCTCCAAACTCCAATGGCCAGGGCGGATCAACAAGACCCA